TGAGTATGCGTCGTGTCAGTTTCGAAATAAGAACGTGGGAATTTGGACAGCCAGTGCCAGTGGCAGGAGTGGCAGGAGCGGCAGCAGGAGTGCGGCGAAGGGCGGCCACCTTTGTGGTCGCAAAGGGACAGGGCCACACTCTCTCACACACACCAATACAAAACCACAAAGTAGTCAAACAAATAAATAAACAAACACACTGACGGCAACTGAATTTTAAGCTGAAATGGTCACTCGTCCGTGGCTTCTTTTTGAACTTGAGTCTATAAATGTGCGCAATCAGTTTTCAGCACTTGTTTAATTGGCAACTAGTCAAAGCACTTGGCCAAAAGCATTAATAACTACACTTATACATCAGTTATATCATTAATAGCTAATGCCGAAAGTTTGCCCAATTAAGAGGCCTGTCTTAGGGGCTGAAAGAGGCGGGCATATGAATAAGGCATAACTTTTTGTTGAAGCACATTCGAGTGCGAGCACTCTTAAGACAATAACACAAATTAGAAAAAGCAGCCTACACGTGTCGCCTCCCTGAAATTACATGAGTCCTTTCCTTTGAAATGTCAAGAACTCAGTTTACCTTGGACATTTGCCTTAATTTATTGTTTTTGAACTGTGAATTTGTTTTCAAATAACATTTTCTCTACAGGCAATCGCTTTTCGAGATTTCATTGATTTAAACATTTGGCATGCTAGGTCTATATGGAAATCTACATAATCTATATATACTATAACTTATATATTTATGTAGATATATCTCTGAAATGATTTAGTTTGTTTTAATTTTGAAACAAGTCTATATTCTCAAGGTAAATATTTGAGCCCGAGCCTTTTCAGCATTATAACTTTAACATTATATCTTTAATTTGAAGTAAATCCAGCTTAAACAAATTAGCTGTGTTCACAATTTTATGTCAAATTGTATCTGGGAACTGCACTTCCAGATTCAGCAATAAAATTGTGTCCTTAAATAGTCCTTCCTGTCAAATAGACTTACCTTAGAATAACTATTCAATTCCTTACTTAAAAACAATTGATTAATAGTTTAACGACGCACTTCAACCATTTTTATCCGCATCAAACTTTCGTGCATCAAACTCATCACGCTATTATCTAAAGAATACGCTATATCTTTGAAATTCCGTGAAATGCCTTGGAGCTTAATACGTAACTGCTCAACTCAAGATTAGGGCCCAGGAAAATAATTAGAAACGTCTTTAAATTTGTTCAAGCATTTGGCTATTGTTCAAAGACTGTGAACTTAATTACTGTAAACTAAACTCAAGAGCGTTTGACGATGAGGCTCCACGTGGAACTACTTGAGGGCGCTTTATAGAGAGGAATGCTGCGTGTCCATTTGTGCTATGAGTTTTGGCCATTCCCGTTAGCTGACAAAGTCATCAAAATTTCACAGCCACTTGGGAAAGCAGAAAAGCGCAAAATTTTTATTGTTTTTTCATTAGGCGTTGGCGTGGAGGCCTCGCCCGGCGCTGGTCAATGCTCACAAGTTGGACCGGGGGCCAAAAAGCATAGAAACCAGCCCGGCAATTGACGCTTGGGACACACGCAAAGAGCTCAGCTAAGAGGCGACCAGGGGTAGGCGTGAACATAGGGCCGGGCGCTGGCCAGGAGGTTAGACTATAAAGCATTGAGGGCAAGCTCTTTAGGGACTCTTTGGCATTGGAGAGACAAGAAACTGGAATGTTTTTGCTTTTCTAAGTGTGCGACTAAAAAGCTGTGCTTTATGTGTGCAATTGAACATTAGTGAAAATTGAAGATCTTTCATAGTTAAATTTCTCTAGAGTGTGCTGGCATAAATTTAATATAACTCTTGTCTACTTGCTAGATAGGTAAAAGCTTAATTGTAGTGCAGATATTAAGGTGCAATGGAAAATCAATTGGCTATATATATTAATATTTATTTGCTTCTGAAACAATTGCTGTACAGGGTATAAGCCAACCGAAACAACCTAAAGAGCTCGTGAAAATGAAAGATTTGTAAAATTTGCAGACAAGCATATGATTTGTCAATATACCCCTTGTAAACTAAATATTACTGGATATATATATAGAGTGCGAAACGGGCCGAAAACACGCGCCACATTGAAAAGGCAAATGGATGAGCACGCGAAAAACTTAATGAACTCCATGAAAAGCGGACGCGGCTGATTGTTGCTATGTTTCCTATGTATGTGTGTGTGTGTGCGTGCGCGTGTGCGTGTGTATTTGTGTGTATGCTAACTAAGCGCATCACCATTGGGAGTTTGTTGCTGGCGCACAAGTATGCTTAGAAAATCTCCAGAGCACGTTTCCGGAAATAAATAAATAAAATCCAAAGAGGAGCCAGGCGAGAGGCGCGCTCGAGCTGAGCCTGGGGGCCAAGCTGACCAAGCTGCCTACTTTTTTGAGGGGTGAAGCATTCAAAAAAATAAGTAATACAAGAAGCACAAATAAACTAAAAGGCAGACAAACGAGCTTTGCATAGAAATTGACGTGTCCGACGAAAAAGGAAGGCAGCAACAAGGATAACAGCAAGCAACATAAATTCCCGTAAAATTTTAATGATACAAAATTATTTCGGCAACTGAATGAAGCGTTCACAAATGCGGCTGCCACAAATAAATTTTGCTGTTGCCAGTAGAAGCAAGTGTGTGTGTGTAAGTGTGTGTGCCTTGTGTTTTTCTGCTTACAGCTGCATGCACTTGATTTGTAATTTAATATTAATTAAAACGTAGTAGCAACAGCCTCATCTTCTTCAATTTGGCCCCGTTTCTAAATTAGAGCCCACCTGCATAGTTTTTAAGGCCCCCATCCAACCCACTCCCCTCGTGCACCCTTGGCTTGGCCTGTTCTACCAAAATCTGATAAGTTGAGGTAGCTGCTGGCCAAGTCAACGAACCGAGCTGAGTCAATAATTTTATTGCAAAGACATTAAAATTTTAAATGCTGCCCCTTAACTAAACCTCTTTCTCCCTATCTCCCCCCCTTTGTCACTCTCTCTCTCTCTCTCTCTCTCTCTCTCTCTCTCTCTCTCTCTCTCTCTTTCTCGCTCACTCTGTCTCCAGTATATTCTCTATTCAAAGTGTGTCTGTCTGGCGCACCTCTTCGCTTGCGGCAACTTTGCGCCTGTGGATTTTTCGTCGTCAACAGCCATGCGGCATTTTCTGTTGCTGCCCCTACTCTAAATCCCTTGCCTCCTTCCCACTCTACCCCTTAGCTCTTAGTTCTTGTTGTTGTTGTTGTTGTTGTTGACTGCGCCAAAAACTTTGCCACTGGGAGTTTTTGCCGGGCGTCTCGGCGTTTGCTCGGCTTTTACGACATCGCTGCTGCTGCTGCTGCCGCTGCCTTTGTGTTATCGTCCAGCTTGTGTGTGTGTGCGTGTATATGAGCGTGTGCGTGTGTGTATGTCTGCATTAACGAAACTCAATTTCAACTTTTCACTCTGTTCATGTGGAAAAGTTGCCAGCAGCCTCAAGTGTGGGGCCAAAAAGAAGAAAAAACCCAGGGAGACAATCATTATGCCCTGTACCAAATTAGTATAAAGGTATGCCCAATGGGAGGAAACCCCATAATATTTATCAAAGTTCTTCATAAGTTTTTTTCATTTGATCAGGAACAAGAATTTTAATTTATTTGCTGTGAATAAAGTTTTATTTTTCTTCATAAGGAAGCCAAATATTCATCTGCTTTAATGCAATGCATTATAAATATTCCTTGCTTTTACCAATATCGGAATCTTGCTCTCTTTCTTCCTGTTCACGTCAAAACAAGTTTTCCAAACGAAGAGTTAAATAGAAAAAGTAAAGAAAACATTTATATATGTATCGAAATATTTATTTGGCATATAAATTGAATTCAATTCATCATAAGTTGAATACATTTTATAAATATTGCTCGGAACATATTTTGTTTCGGTTGTTTTATACAATTAATCTGTTTAACTGTTCGTAGCATATAGAAAAATGTAATTCCCGGTCAACAAAGGTTCGGTTTAATACCAGTTTGAAGTCTTGGTAACTAACGTAGACGGGGCTTTGGAAAATAGATTAAAGGGTATCTGCGTAGTATGGAAATCTATGTTGCACTCTCACTCATAGCTGTATGAATGCTGTACGCTTTGTGGCTGAAATGGAATTGAAATACTTATTTGATGTACGCATTTTTTGGGAGAGGAATTTTAATAACAACCTACAGAAAATTTAATGAAAACGTAAAAGCCAGGCATGCATAAATCAGTTTTATAGTTATGTAAAATAATCGTAATGCACAATTAAATATGCTGGACAAGGCTCAGAGGGAGCAGGGTGCTGGCGAAAGTTGGCAAAGGACCTGGCCAACACAGTGTAATTTATGTAGCTAGCGACAAAGCCAAAACACAGAGCAAGATAAATATACAGTCGGAGTTGGCTGAGTTGGCCGGAAACCGGATGCAGGAAGACGCCATAAAGGCAACATTTTTCATGGCTGGCCTGGCCTGGCCTCAAATGCAAACGTGTGCAGTCTGCAATTGGGCGTGGCCGCAAATGTCTCTAATTAGATTCGACCAGGAATCGTTTTTTTGTTCATTTTCTTTCCTTTTTTTTGGCAACTCATCGATAAATCAATGCGTTAAGTTCCACGCTCAGCTGTGGGCAAACGAAATCGCAGTCCGACAGCTGCCGACAGACGACAGCTGATTGATGATCCACGAAATTACAAATTACACAAATGTTATGCGAATTGGCAGATAAAAATCGCGCAAATTCCGCTCACCAAATCACTTAAGCGTATCACCTTATTTGCTTTGTTGCCCCTCCACGCAAGCCCCACGCTCTGCGTCTTGGCTAAATGAATTTGCCCAATACAAAATTTGATTGATTATGGCCATCAACAATATGAAGGTGCCACTGCCAATCGAACCCTAAGCTATGGAAATGTTATCTTATTTTCTTTTCTGGGGTTGATGACAATTTAATTTCCTTGCAGACATTTTAAATTGATATAAAAGTTCACCTTATTAGGTTAATTAAAATTGCACAAGTTTCCGTAAAGTTCCACTGTTACGCAGTCACTTTAATGGAAACTCTGTATAATGAAGTGGTACAATTTCGATACAAATTTGTAGCCAAATTTCATACACGACTTCCTATTATACGGGTATATCTTTCCCTTTTCCACCGATCTTTTAGATGCGTTTCCTTATTTCGAATGTGGGAAGAATCTGTTAGAATTATTGTCAAACTCAAATATAGTCAAACTCATGCGGATCAACCTCGAAGCGCTTAAAGCGCTCCGAGTATTGCCCAAAGAAGAAACCCTCAAGCTGGAGTATCATGAAATTGCGGTAATCCTGTTCCGAATTGTAGCGAGCATTATAGGCACAGATGCATTGATTTGGCAAGGTGTCAATATATTTACTGATATCCGGTATATCGAGATCACAGGGCAAGTGTATAATATGGAAATCGGTAATCTCTGGCGGGCATTGGACCTGCCTACGGCGCTGAACGTGCTCCAATGTGGCAGCGTCTGTATCACTGGCAGTATAAGTATCACTGCCCCCAGCAGTGACAGCAGCTGTGGCAGTAGCTGTATCGCCATCATCCAAACTATCATCATCGACAACGACATCGACATCCATAGCCACGCTGCTGTTGGTGGATGTCGGCGAATCGGTGGCATCCATTAGAGTGGATGACATTGCATTTGCGTTGTCGGATACTGGCGGAGGTAAATATCTGGCCCTGCTGCTGGGTAAGCGATTCTGTGGTGAGCACGTGAGGGAGGGAAGGAGAAAGTTGGCGAGGGGGGTATAGGAATATGCTTACCAATGCAATGAGCGCGGCAGCCATCGACAGTAACAATTTAAGTGGAAACTGCATTTTCTTGATATGTTTGTTGTATGTATTTGTATGTGTATTGTGGAAAGTCAAGTACAAGTATACTGAGGTTTGCCTAGCCTGCCGCCTAACCACCTCACCCAACCCCCCTCTCCCTCTCGCTATTTGCTTTATGTAATACGAAAGTCAAACAAGGTTCGTTTTAGCCAAGCCAAACACGACTGCTCATAAAATGCGCGCACACTTGCAAATTATTACCAACATGTGCGCCAGGCGAAAATTGATAACCAGGCGCCCAGCAGTTTTCACACACTAACACACACACACGCACACACATAGCTCGATACAGCATCAATTACCCACGCCATGTGGTCAGACAGCAGCGTTTGCAGACTCCTGACCGAGGCGGCGGCTGGTGCGAATTGAAACAAGCGAGCTTATCTCGAGTCAACTTGACTTGAATCGCAGATACCCTGTTATTTGTTTCGTTAGTCTATCAACCCATTGTTATGCATCTTAGAGGTATAAATATAACAAACTACAATATTCAGCTTTGCTTGTCATAGACTTTCAATTTATTTTTGATTAGACTTAAGCTTTTTTTATCGGAGATATATTGAAAAGCAGACTTTAGGCTTTTAGTTTAAAATATATGAAAATTCCGGGCTTGTATCGTTTCGGGACAGTCTTGATTAAAAGATCAAGAGAGTAACTGAGAGATCAAACTAGGTAAACAAGGAATTTCAAATATCGGTCGATGTCTCGATATGACTTACAAAGTATAGATAACCTTTGGGCAATTCTTAATGGGGCACAGGGTATAAAAATGCGCCAACTGAATCCAATTGGTGGGCGGTTTGGGTGGACTGTCCAACAGTGAGTGCAATGACTGCGACAGCGGATACTGGGATATTAGAAAAGCCACACGGCCGAAGTGAAGCATGTTAAGAGTGACGGCAAAGTGCCACAGACACACACACTTGTACACACTTTACACACACTCATACACACAGCAGCATTGATAATGACCAGCACTGCAAATCGATATGGAACATTTCAAGTGTGAAAATAATATGACAGCAGTAATCACAGGCGACAACAGGGACCAAGCTACCCCTCGCCAACGACGACTGCCGCAGCTATTGATATTGATTTCAGGCGTGGTAAAACGCGTCGCAACGCAACATCGCAAAATGTAAGCGAGCTGAAAGCGGCCTCTAAGGCTACAGGAAATGGGCAAAATAACTGTGCGGAAATGTCGAGAGCGCATTGCAATGAGTCCCAGCTGGCTGGGTTGACTGCCTGACTGACTGGCTCGCTGGCTGCTTGGCTGGTTGGCTGGTTGACTGGGCTCTTAACACATGTCACTGGACCATAATTGCAAGATATATTTTGGAGTTGGAGATGGAGTGCGATGTGAGCTAGAGCAAAGCTGGGAATGAATGACAATTGTTTTGACACGCCTGACAGCGGGTGCGTGGGCAGCGCCGGTGGAGTGTGGGGGGCAACGATCAGAGGCAGCTGTCAAAAGCAGACAACAGCTGCCAGGACACAGGCACACAGCCGACGCATAGTCCATGCATATACAAGCGCTGATAAAATTCATGGCAAACACACTCGCACACACACACACACACAAGCACACGAACTTCCTGGCAAATTGAATTTTTCATGCTGTATGACGTGTAGAATTTATGCGAAAATTATTTTGTTGTGCGTTTGCGTTGAAATGCAACTTCATCAGGCAAGCTTGAAGCAGTTTCCAATTATGCAATAAGCTCAAGCTCTTTATTGCCTTAACAGTTAATTTCGCATTCAATTAGGCTAAACTCAGCGCACGAGAAGCCCAAAGCCGAGTGCCACACAGCGTTTAGCCACTTAAATGGGCAACGTGTGGCATGCAACCAAGTGCGGCATTGCGCTGCAGTGCTTGATTATGGCCCTTAGCATCCTAACAAATCTCTTTAGTTGACTGCGCTCAAAAGTCCAACCATTGATTAATAATCTCTCTGAAAAGCCAAACTCTACGTTTTTCTCGGCTGCATTCCACATCCTGCCTGCCTGGCTGGCTGCTGGCTGCTGCCTGTGCCTAAAGCTGCCAGGATAGCACATATTTCGCCTGCACCAGCAAATTTGTTGCCAGCTGCAAGTGGCGACTCCCCCCTCTTCATTCTTTATTTTTATAGCTGCAACTGACGCTGTGGTGCCCGTCGCCCGCATTCTGTTGCCTTTTGTTCCATACCCTGTGATGCATAGAAATGGGCAGTATTGAGTTCTGACAAGGCAGAATATACTTTATGAGGTATACAACACTCTCAATAGAAGGAATACCATTTAAAAAGTAGGTTCGATCTAATTACTACCAAAGTCTTAACATTCGTCCTCAATCTATTATTCAATAAAATAACTACGTATACTTAATATACTTTTATAGTTTCTAAAGTTGTAAAGGCATATCCTGACTATTCTCAAATATTTTGACGTTTAATCAATGTGTTATTTATCGATAAAAATGAATGAGTGAACTTTGATAAACTTATCAAAAAGTATATTTACTTTGTATATACGAAAGTCAAATATATTCTACACAGAGATATTCCCCAATGCTGGGTGTCTCTCTAGAAGTGTCGCATACCCTAACTGTATTTAAGCTGGGTATATCCTTTCTGTTATTTTTATTGTTCTTGACGTCATAGTTGTATTTTATTTTGTTTTGTTTTTTGCACGAAGCGAACCTTTTGTTTATTTGCGCTGCGGCGGATCACAAAAACTGTAATAGCAGCAGTCCGGGGCAAGACTTGGGACATGGATGGGACGCGAAAGCAGGACGCATAACACAGGACGCAGGGCGCTGAATGTTGGACGTAGACGTGAACGTGAACGCGGACGCAGGCACCTCGGCACAAAGGCGAAGCAGCGTGGAGTTAAAGCGCAGCTAACAAAAATGTTTATGTGCAGCTCGCTGTGTTGGAAGGGGACTGCTGAAAATTGGGGGCGTGTGCGAGCGGAAAGAATGGGGGCGTGGCAAGATGGCAGTGTGCACGTATGTGCAGTTATAAATTGCAACTCGTGCGCAACGTTTGCCAGTCAGAACTGGGCGAAACGGCATCCGTGATGGCGTCAAAAAGAGAGCACAGCTACGAGTTAGAACCAAGAATAGTTTGGTGAAAAGAGAGAGAGAGAGAGACAGGCAGAGCAAGCGGGGGGAGGGGGATGTATGTGAGTGTAACGTTTGGGCTGGATAGTTGGTTAGTTGGGTTAGTTGGTTTAGTTGTTGTGTGGCAAAGCCGCAGGCAGAGAGTTCGGTTGAGCTGCAGGTGATGCATCTGCGGCTGTCCAAGCATGTGTGTGTGTGTGTGTGCGTGAGCTGGTGCTGGTGTGCGTGTGTGGCAAGTAAAGGGCGGAAAATAGTTACAATAATAGAATTAACAAAACAAAATGAAAGCTGGGCACAATTAAATATTTGCGCGGCCAGCCATGGCAACAATGTGGCCGCTGCAATTTTATGTTGTGCATTGAAAATCGCTAAAAATCCAACGTAAACTGAACTATCATTCATGGGCGCGCAGCGTGGGCGGGGGCAACAGCTAGCTGCCACCTGCCACACGCTATTGCAACATTTCAAATTAAACAATTTTAAATGTGCTCCATGTGCGGGGACGCTGTTAAAATGTAACGACTGTAACCGAATTGCAGCTGCGGTTGGCTGCATTTATGTTTATTTGCATTTTGCATTCTGCAATTTGCATTTGGCAGGTGGGCGTGGCACACCCCCGTTACAACCCATCAATATGAATCGCTTCGATAAATAACGCCCAGCGAAACAATGCGGGAACTGTAAAAAATGTTTTAAGTGCTTTTAATTTGATTTTTATTTACCCGCAAAGAAGAAGAAGAAAAGGACGCGCACAGCCGTAAAGCCATTGGGTAAATATATACCCAGAGACAGCATCGACAATTGAACCGATCTTGAATAATGTTTGTGTAATGCTGCTGTTATTCGAAAATATCTGCCAATTGGCAGCTGAACATTATTTTAAAGCGATTCAGAAGTTATAGCTGTTGTTGAAAAAATGTTACACAGAGGAGAAGATATTTCCGACTCCATGCAGTACACATACATATATAGTTTAAATTATATTTTTATATTAATTTATTAACTGTCGACGAAACGAGCGTTAGCCTGGCTATATATATACATAAAGTTAACATATTCTTGAACAGTATCAACGGTCGATATATCTATGCTCGTTTGCTCGTCTGTATGTTTCCATGCCAACCAGTTTTATAGCTATTGTCTTTATGCTGTAGCCAGCTCCAATCTGATCACTATATCACATAGATTTGTTAGAAGAGAAATAAATAAATGTGCTGTGAGCTATATAAAAATGTTACACAATCATAAAAATAACTTAGCCCTGGATCTCTTAAACGATAGTTGGCACACATAACATCATAAATTAAGCCAGAATAAATAAACTATAATATATTGTTTGAACTCATTGGAGCTCAAGCAATCCTGTTAAGTTTAAGTGTATCAAACTTTATTTTCTAAGCAATTTGTTTATTGTCCTAAGACAGATTACAAATGAAAAGCCAGTTAAAAAAAATATGTAAACTACTTTCTTGTTTTTCAAGACATGTTAACCAAAACTTTGGCATTTATTAGTTTATATTCTTAATATATATATATATATATTTTTATAATTCTTTTTATTTATTCTGTTGTCCCTAAAAATAAAGCTGTCTGTCTGACTGGATGGCTTATCGTATTGATTGACTGAAAGACTGATCAAAGAACTAGACCGCTAACATTTTTGCTGTATTAACCATATGTGATGCAGGTGCACGCTTTGACAGAGTTTTGAATAAATCACAAAAAATGGCCGTAACTCATTTTCAATGATTTATTGATTATTTGAAACATAATTCACACCTTTAGCAAAATCCACCCGTCTAGGGTGGAAAATGCGGGTAAAAGGTCGATTTTCCGGCTTTAAGTTAATCGTCACAAAACTAAATTGAATGGAAAACGCAGATTGCTGCCTTTGGTTGTTCATTCGTTAAACTTTAAACGCATTGTCAAATACATATGTAAAATATAACTTTTGACGCGG